GTATAGTATTTAGTATAGTATAGTATTTAGTATAGTATTGAGTATAGTATAGTATTTAGTATAGTATTTAGTATAGTATTTAGTATAGTATTTAGTATAGTATTTAGTATAGTATTTAGTATAGTATAGTATAGTAGAGTATAGTATAATATACCTTGGCCTTTCTACAAGTGTACGTTACGAGTCCAAGGGGCCCTGGCTGTATTGAGATCACAACAACGAAACGGGCCCCCACCGTGGGACTGAAGCTGCAAAACAAAGACCACAACCCCAATGCGGATCATCAGAATCGGTGCCCATCGTCTGTTTGGCCCCGATAGCGAGTGTACAGCTTGCAAGGACGTATGTCGACAACAGGCGGCACCAGCCCAGCCGTCAGACATCATGATCATGGATGCCAGAATGCACTGAACGAACTCCCGGAGCCGAGTTCAAGTCTCCTGTTGGGGGGCGACCCGAATCACGTTGTGCAATACAGAAACAGACCTGCTTTCCGTTCAAGGCATTGCCAAGACGCTCTGGATCAGGCCGCCCAGCGGCAGGCCAAAGCTACATGCTTGGAGAGAGGCACGGCGGCAGCAGTACGACAATTACTACTTATTGTAGCGCCAAACATCATATTGCAAGCGGCGGGTGGTTATTCAGCCTTGCAAGCTTCCAAGCAGTGTACAGAGCTCCTACCGATACTAGGCCCAAAAGCAGGTCACGTTAAACTGGGCTTCTGCAATCCCTGCAAACCTGCCTGGCGCTGCCTCCAGCCATGTCACCACCCGTGGCCTCCCGCAGGGTCTCCGGCAGACTTGGTGAGGTTATCAACACAAACCGCAACTTGAAGCAACCCTCTCTTGATCGCTCAAGCTTTGACACTCAAAGACTGGCAGGACGCAGAAGCCTCGTCCACGAGCCCCAGCGCCTCGCTCAGACCACCTCAGACTCCACGGCTGCGGAGCTTGTGAGGCATCTTGAACCGAATAAACCTGCTCTTGGCAGGATCTGCATCTAAATTGTCGTCGGCAGCGATTTACAAAACGTCCATCAAAAAAACTGCACATCTGCAGACTGCAAGGTCGCATGACTGCCACCCCATCGGAAAATGAAAACCTCATGACGTGGGCTCAACATGAAAAGTGAAGTGTCCGAGGAACAGCAGCTCTGAGTCTCTATGCTGTGGATTCCGGCATTGTCGGACGGAGTCTGAGATAAATCCTGTACTCCCTACCATAAGCCATACCTTCAGAGTCTTTCCCTTCCAGTCACCTAAGCTCCGGGCTACCAGCTTCTCCGGTCACGACTTTCGCAGACTCACGGGCTTCCTTTCATTGGGCGACGTCAGGTTCGAGGAGCTACGAATGCCCCGCTCTCTCTCCCACTTCCGGCATGTGCCGTCTCCCTCTTCTCGATGGATGATGAAGGGACGTGCGTGCAGAAAGCAGAGGCATGCAAGCCGCCCCACAACACAACCTGCCTTCTCGGCTTTGGCCATGTCTTTCCTTGATGTGCAGCTTTTGCAGGCACACGAGCGGACATGGGGGTTCACCACTCATGGGTTCAGGTAGAGAAAGCACGGTAGTAAGGCTCAAGATGTGCCAAGTAGAAGCTACATTCAGGAAATGGTGCCTGGGTCCCTCCCTGGCCAAACGAGCTCTGATGGCTGCTAAGACCTTGTATCCAACTAAACCGAAGCAAACTCCAAAGCGCATCGTGCAGCTCAAGGGCGACATCGCCGCCCAGGCAGCTCCCAACTCTGTCCAGGCCTCCGAGAGGTCAAAGCTCGATCCGATTCGGAGGGGAGCCGCCAAAACACGGGGTGTCCAACGGGGCCCTTTGCCATTTGTTCTCCTCGGCTCCTGTGGCTTTGCATCGGGTCACTCTCCGAGCAGATCAAAAGAGTGTGCATGGGGGACCCAACCGCCTCCCTGCCTTCCTGCAGCACGTTCTGCAGAAACTCGTCGAAGTCCAGACATCACGCTTCCGAGTCCCCGTCCATCCCTCGAACCCTCAGACCAAAGGGGAGTGATGCTTCACCATAGTGCGGCTTACCAAACAACCCCTCCGGAGAGCTGCAAGATTGAGCTGCTGAGAGCTCGCCTCGACTCGTTAGCATTCGATGGAGAACTCCTTGCCTCGATCCCTGGAAGCCAATTTCCTCTGATGTCCTTCCCTTCTCGGCCGGCGTGAATCAAACACTAAGCAAGCTTCAGGCCTCCTTCGTGTCGCCCTCGGCAGATTCAGCCAATGCCTTCCCGCATTTTCATGTTATTGGTCGTGGGGATACATGTACAATCGGCGTCTCGTCTCCGGGCTGTACAATCAACTTCTTGGACATCCCGAAGCAAGCACTGAATTGCTCATTCAGTGTTGGCTTGAGATCCGTCAGCGTGAGCTCGGCTAGATGCCGCTCCTTGAATTTATCGCGAGGCACAACACAAGTGCGGAACCCAATCCCTGCCTCACACTGCGCACAGGCTTCGGCCTCGACACGGCCAGATTGGGAATTAGGGCTCACTGTGAGCGCATGGTGGCTTCACGACAGAAAACGAACATGGACTCCAGTTCTATATACATAAGTATATACACATACAAACATGAACGCAAGCTCTTTACGTTGTACATCAGGTCCTAGCCCTCCAAGTGACATTGGCACAGTATACGCATCCTGCATGTGAAAAAAGAAGGCATAGACTCGCCGCAGTGTTTTCTAGCACCGAATCGCCCGAATCGATGGCAATTATCTCGGGCTTAGGGCCTGCTCCTTCGCCAGCTTCTTCAGAGTTTGCTCGTCTGCGAGAGTCCTGCACGCCTCGAGGGGGTCCACCTGAAATCGGCACCATACCCTCCACTCCGACTAACAAGCTCTCACAGGGTCGTCTACAAAGCCGAAGCTTGGCTATTAGAGCAGCAGCCTAGCCAAAAACAGCAGCAAGGGGAGCGCCGAAGCGGACTAAGTCAAGCCATGGGCCATGTCCCTCCACTGCCTGGTCGGGAGTTGCGCCCTTCTGCAAAGCCTTCCTTCGCTTCTTCATCTGCCTTAGGCTAGCCAGCACATTGCTTGCAAGGGAGATTGAGAGCACCGTGGCACTTACCTGGGCTCCTGCTGAAGTGGTAAAAAAGATCTTGCATGCGCATTCGCCTGTTGAATGCCTGTTGTGGGAGTGTCTTTTGCTGGTTCGAGGCTGCGTGTCGAAGCCTGCAATTTCCACAGCGAGTTTAGGATCGGGAAATTCAGAGTCGGAATCATCTTGGTTGGGGAGATCCAGCATCCTTGGTAAGCTCGTCCCGCTGACCTGGAGGGCCCCAAAAAGTCCCGTCCCGTCGGGGCCTCGATTTGGGAGCCTTCGGAGCCAAGATCCAAGACTTGGGCCCAAGAAAAGTCACAGAGGCCCTGGCGATCGCTGCTTCTGAAGCTCCTCGTCAAAGGCTGCAGCACCTGGCCGTCTCAGGATCGGTGGAAAGTCCATGCAGTCAGCGTCCACCTCACGATCCGAAATGCCCAGCACGATTTGCCCCTGTTTCTGTGCAACAGTTGATGTCGGCCCAAATGGAATTCGGGCGCTCCTTTCTGTTTCCTGAGCCTCATCTGGCCCAACTCTGGGTGCCCGGGCGTCGGGTCGCCTCAGCCAACATCGCCGTCTGCTCCTGGCTGTCCACCTCAACCGGCATTCGGGAGTGACGGGTTTACATGGCTGGCTCGGCTCTTGGGAGCATCAGATCAGTCGGGCATAAAGATGACCTCTTGATTCAGCTCTCTTCCATTCATCCGTCCCGAAAAAAACACCCAGAAATCCTGGAGATTTGCCCTGAAAACGGGGACCTCGAGCTTTCCGGTCTTCATCTTCGCGGCGATGGCGGCCCAAGCGCTGGACTTGGGAAGCGCCTCTACGGATCCAGTACACCAAGGCCTTTTTTTTTTGTTGGGGGGGGGGGNNGGAGGGGGTAGGGGTTGGCCTGTTGGGACTTGTCGGCCAGCCTCGGCACTCGTCTCCGGAGCCAGCTCAGCCAAATCCGCTTTGGCGGCATCTAGCGCCTCGCACGTGCTTCAGCACAGCCTCTGAATTCACGTGGGAGCTGGCCACATGCATGAGAAGCCCTAAGAGAAACCCGATAAAAGGAAGGGGAACCGTTCATCCCCTCATCGGGCCGCCTCGACAAGCTGAGCCCAGTCGTTAGCCTCGCTTTCGCTCATCTTGCCCTCCGCCATGAACCTGAAAGGGAAAGGCAAGAACCCTGCTCGGCAATGGGATCTCGGAGAAGGGTTCGCAGCCTGCATGGGAGAAACTAAGTGTGAACAACACGGCTCCAGCAAAGCATTTGTGCGGACGTGTTGGTTGTCATCTGGTGCTACAGGCCGTCTGCATTGCAGCGGCTTTGCCAGTTCAGATCTGATGGGCCCTCAGCCTCCAAACTCGACGCCTCGCTCTCAACCTCCTCCGCTCTGTTGTTCAACTCCCAACCCGTCTATCCCATGCTTGTTATACATTGTGTTTTACCTTTCAGAGACAGTATAGTTCTGCAGCCTGGCATCAGAAACCCTTGGGCCCCATTTTCCTTTCACCTCTGAGCTCCCCGGCTTCTGGCACTCTTCCAGGGCAGCAGCTCTCTCAGACTCGAGGGCCTGCGAGAGAGCTCTACTAAAGGGCTGTGAGGGTTCCGGGGAGTGTTCCGGGTTTAAGGGCTTTAGGGTCTGGGTCCGCGATCCGGACAAGGAGGAAACCAAAAACACCATTGAGCCTTCACCAAAGGCTGTCGTCAAGTCCCTGCAATGCAAGCAGCCACTCGACCCGCCTCGTACGCCTCCTTGTCCTGTGCTCGCATCTTTGGGGAGTTCAGCTCTCAGGCGCTCAACCCCCACACAGCGCATGTTTTGAAGCATCCTGAGATCCGCTGCACTCCCACTCCCCGCCCGGTTCGCGCTCACTCACCTGACTCACACCTCCCCGACGATATTCTGCTGCGGGCATGGGTTCTCTGCCTCTTCCCGGGTCCAGACCGGCCCAGAACCGATTGCACGCTGTGCGGTCTCCAAACTCGAGCCTCTGCTTCCTGTCTCTGGCACCTTCAGCTCCACACGTTCACGATTCCAATTGCAACGCGCCTTTTTGCAGCCGTAGACTCTTACAGCTCTAATGTTCCTGATGTCGATCAGTATGACCGCCAGAATGACTATCATGCCCCGCTACAGGTGCCTATCACTACTACGAGCATAGCTTTTCAATCATGGCCCCCCTCGATCCAAACAAACTCATTGGTACAAAATATATACATTATATTACATTATATTATGTTAGAAACCAATATCATATGGATTATTATACTATATATTAATTGCAAGTCCTCCAGGAGCCTTCCAAGCTCCAACGCAGCGGCTTGGCTCCCTTTGCCCTGGGGTCCACTTGAGGATATCTTTCCTTCGGGGGGAGGTCTGTTCCTAGGTAGCCTTTGGGCAGCATGAAGTAAGACAGCTTTAGAAAAGAAATGTAGTAGAATATGGCATCAGTGGCCTGAACATCTAAGCCTTAAGCTCAACGGGCATGATCCGGAACGGAAGAGTGGGAGCTTCCCAACCCTTCGACTTCCCACCTTGGCCCTCTTCTGCAACTTCTGCTTCTGCTTCTGAAGTTCCTGACCACCCGCACGAGGAAAGAATGCGTCTGGAACCACGGGCCTGTGCCTAAAGACTCCTAGACAGCTCCCTCCAATAACTGTCTCAAACCGACAGTTTTCTGACATCTTGCATTGGCCCCTCACCCGATTCTGGCTGAGATTTTTGGTCACAAAAGAGAGAACTGGAGTAAAAGAGATGAAACGCACAGATCTGCCGCACTCGCCATACGCGGCCGTCATCCCTGAGTTCCCCCCAAGCTGAGCCTGCAGCCTTCAGAGTTTCGAAGGTGCGACGTCCAAAGCTGCTCCGATTCCGTAGGGCACCCAATTCGACTTCGACGAACTACCTTCACCGGCCCTTCCAGATCGACTCAACTCAAAGGCCAAGCTGCACCGCCCGCATTCTGGAAAATGATTTGATTCCCCTCCCGCGATGCCTCATCGAAGGCTGCAGCACGGCGAGCTGCCTTCAGTACTTGCATGGGGGCCACAACACGCTCTGTGACACCTTCCGTTCAGACACGCGCTCGAAAGCGGTCATCTGCATATGCATATGCTAGGAGCCGTTTTCATCACCGGCCCAACACACCGAACGAGTCAGTCATCAGCTTTCAGCCTGCAGGCATCTGCTGCAAATCCTACTTGCCACCATCGAACCAAGCTCCACGCCCTGAACCCTGAGCAGTATTCAATAGGATGCCTTCTTTGCTCTGCTATACTACACAAGCTACGGAAGCCCCCCCCCCTGTGTGAAGACATCGGTAAATCCCCACCTCTGCCAGTGCAGCCCGGCGTTCGGCATCCGTGTCTTCCAGCGACTGGCAGTGTTTCACAGAGAATAAGCACTTGGCAGATTGGGGGGTGGAAGTCTTGGGGTGTAGGGGATGTTGGGATAGTTGCAGAGACCATGATCGTATTCGGGGCTTCTTTTCTGTACCACTTGATGTTTTTTTTTCCCGGTTGCCTGGGCTCTACCCAGGCAATGCCGCCAGATCCGGGAGTCTTCGGGCCATGGTCGTCGTGTAGTAATCATTGATTTGACTGGGCGAATCCTTCAGGGAAAATGGGGTCCGAATTTAGCGCTGGCGCATGAGGTGTGCTCATCTAAACAGGTCTAGTATAAGGGAGCGGAGCATATTCGGAGCAACTGTCATGTGGCCTATTCAGAAGCAGCGGACTTCTCCTGTTGCAGCCGGAGGTAGTGAGAATCATGTCCAAAGGGGTAATAGTTAATAGTCCCATGTAGAAGATTTGCCGACAGATTCTTTGTGGTTGTTTGAGAGTCGCTTGCCGAAGGCATCCTGGGAGGGGGTGCCGAAAATAATTCTATGGAACTTCAGGGGACAGCCTGTCATAGCCTGTCCGGTCCAGTCACGGAGCCGCATCAAACACCACAGCTCCGCGCACAGAACTCAAAATCAGCCGCATGTCTGGAGAGCTTCTCCGCGCTGCATGCGGTAAGTATAGGACTCAGTTAGCAAAGCCTGCAAACCTTCCAAAGGGCTCAGCGACATCGGAACAAACCTCAGGCGCTTTGCAGACCTTCTCCCGTTACATAAACGATTGTGTCCGCAAGCATTGGGTTCTCGAACTACAATCGGGCCCCGTGTCACGCCTTGGCGACTTTGCTACCACCCAACGTTGCGGTCAAAGCTGACTGAGCCTCCTCGTGGACACGACGGAATCACTGAGCTTCTGGAGATATGCTTCCGTTTTGGGACGGGCGCATGGGTGTCGAGATTTTTAAGAATGTCTGAAGCCAGCTCTGCGGCAAGGAGCCACACAACTCAACCCAGGCCCAGCAAGCCTAAACCAGCTTCGACTCTAGGGCCCGCTCTTCAGCTGGGATTTCAGGGTCTGCTTTCATCCGAAGACGACCTACCCTACATGCTGAGTGAGTCTGATCCCACCGGTTCCTGCGTTGCCGACTGCACGTCTGCTGAGAGATGCTTCCATGCTTCTTCCAAAGCATCGCAGGCCTCACAGGCAAGAAAGAAGGTGGAATCGCTGAATAGCCATCTATGGCCGCTGCACTTGGGACCCCAACCCCGGGCAAAAGCACTCTAAAGAGGGTTTGGAGAACGGATCTGCGTTTCACACTGAGGCCGGCGAAAATACTGAAACGCGGCGTCAAACAAGCGAGATTTTGATAACACCGAAAAAGCTTTTGTCAAACACCTAATCTGCTCTTGCTTCCTAAACCCCAAATAATCCAAACAATGTTGAAACTTCCCGAGTTCACGAACATGTAGCTGGCAAATCCAGGCTATACCGAACTCCTCGAGAACCCTTTCTAAATCTAGGGGTGGGGGGCGGAGGAGGAGAGGGTGAATCTATTCGCAGAGACCGCTGTTGACTGACTCCTCACGCCCTCTCAGAAAACACGCGCTGTACAAGCTGTCTCCCAAACCGAGCCCTCCATCCGAGGAGCCGAATCCCAGGCTTCGTCGCCGGCACCATCCTCCCGCAGACCCGGGAGGGCGGCAAACTCCGCAGCCACCTGGCGCCGAAGCTTTCGACTCAATTTGTGTGTCCAGCGGCATGTTGAAGACTGGAAGGCTCCGTAGGGTTCTACAGTTATATCCCTTCCGATTCCCTGCCTTGTCCTTGAGCCCAGCGAGCGCGTCACGCTCCTCCAGCAGTGCCCCAGCAGTCAGCAGCGACCTTGCGCCACGTGACGCCGACAGAAATCGATAGAACCTGACTACGGCGAAAGGACGTAGTCAAAATGGCCTCTGCTCCTGGGCTGTGATCTGTGCAGCTGAAGTGGCGAGTCTCCATCGGATTGCTTTCGGCGACGAGCCTGTAGCCGCAGCCTGCAGCCGCAAAGGAACCCGAGTGGGCCGTCGACATAAGTTTCCAGAACCCGATGGCCTTTGGGCGTCCAGTTCTTCCTGGAACGCGCTAGCGCGCCGAGCTGCCTCAGCCAGCATCGCCTGCCGAACGCGGCATTGGGCTTGGGAGGCGATTGGCTTGTGCTTAGGCAGCTGTTGCAAAGGCGATTTGGAAAGGCTGCTCGGGAATTGTGGCTCGAACCTTTGATTTGAAACTGAAGCAGCTCAACCTTTCTTTGCGCATAGAGGTGTGGAAGTCAGACTGTCGGAAGTTGTTTCTGGCTGGCTGAAGCTGAGTTGAAGTGTGAGGTCACAGGTACTCTGGAACACATGCGCACACACACACACACGCACAGAGGACAGTTCATGCTCTCAGGGATCTGCATATTCAGCCACTCGCAAGATCTGATCTGCTGACAACGAAAGCCGCGGTGCGCGCTTGAACACTTTGCGTGACTGAGGCCCTCTTGCTCATCATCATGCAATGATCAGCAAAGCCTTCACCGACAAACATCCCCAAATAGTCCCCTAAACACTAAAACCCTAAACCCTAAGACAGTAGGGACAACAGTCCCCACGACTGGGCCTCCCGATCGCCAGCATCTACGGAGAGTTTGGCACGGGCCATCCTAAGTTCTTGCGGTGATAAGGTGGGGCCCTGGGGAGAAGCATCGTCTAGGGTTACGGTTTCTTGACAATGTGGATTGCGACCTGTCAACATGACCAGCTACATGGAACTTTCCTTCCGAGACCTTCGCACGTCAAGACATGACAACTTGTGCATGGGTCTACATCAAGCCAGGAAACAGCTCTCGCAGAGGGTTGTCGTCGCTCGTCGTGCCGTCCTTTTCAGCGGCTTGCTCAGACTGTAGAGTGTACTTTCATCCAAATATCCGGGCATGACACCCGATAATTCCAGACAAGTTCTAGCCATCTGGAACCCAGTTGATTCCAGTTGATGACAAAACTGTGCAAGAGGAAATGCATCCGACCGAACGCCGATGCTTCAACATGAAGGCTTCCGAAATTCCCACTTGCAGCCGTCGGGTGGAGACAATTGTGCTAGGTAACCTAAAGCCTGCGGACTGTACGAACTTGTACATGCACACATGCATACATGCATGCATGCATGCAGACATACATACCTACGTAGTACGTACATACATACATAAATACATACATACATGCATAGAAAGGGGTTCTGCGAAGCGCTGCAGGGCCCGGCTCCTCGCCCATCGCCTCGCGAGCGCCATCCTGCGAGAGGCGGCAGGACTCAAACGACCCAAGAGCCACAGTGCCTTGTATCATATGTATGCTTGATTTTTGTTACATACATACATACATACATACATACATACATACATACATGTGTTCGTGCATGTATGATTTTGTTACATACATACGTACATGCATACATACACATATACGTGTGTGTGGGTGTATGTACGAATATGCCTATAGCCTTTAATCTTGTAGCATACATGTGCCTCTGCTTGCGGCTATATATTGCGGTTGAACGTATGGTCATTTTTGCAAACTCACAGTGATGAAGAAGATCGTTATGCACAATAACAACAACAATAATATTAACATCACTCAAAAGGGTGTGCCTGCTTTCAGTACAAAACATATGCAACAGTGAGTAGTAAGGTGGTTCAAGACTAGAACAGAATCTCAGTCTTTTTGACTGACCTCTCAGGCTGCTTACAGCCAGCAGCTCGGATCCTCGACCGGTCCGGTCCCTAAATCCAAAACCCAAAAACAGCTCCCTCAAACAAGACGCCCAGCACCTCCAGGGCCGCCGCTTTCTCGGCAGCTGCTTCCAAAGATCGCGCGAGGCGCAACCTGCACGCACCGACGCGTGGAGGCGCAGATGTCAAAAATATGAGAGGAGACGTCCCCGGAGCGTCGCGTGTCCAGCCCAGCAAGCCTTCAACCCAGTAAACTGCTTCAATGCTCGGCCTCTCATCTTGTCGGCACTGCCAGGCTTCGGCTTCCTGGCAGGTGTGCTTGTTGCATTCATGGGGACTGCAGCAACCCTCGAGATTGCATATGCAGGATGCAGGAATCTGTTCTTTCACGCTGCTGATCCAATGCACCTGCACGCTATTATTGGTTGATAACCCACGCTGTTTCGTGGTCCCATGAGAAGCAACAGGACTAATATTTCTTTTTTGATTAGGATCAATAGATATGGGAGTTTTAGGGTACCTGTCGCAAGGCCATCGGCAGGTTCGCGGTGGCGCCGCCAGCCAGGAGGCGGCCAACCTGCGAAAGACTGAGGGCCTTCCTCTATGGTGTGCATGTCACCGTGTGTTTCTTAAGACTTTGGGTGGCTGAGAAATATAGGAGCTGCTGTATGCGAAGCCACTAGACATGGACATTTATAGAGACTGAGATAGAAATACAAATACGGCTCGAGAAATTACCAAAAGTGACTATCAAATGAATAAAGGTATGCCCAACACAGCTAAAACAGCTGCGCATGAACGAGAATCAAGATCCTGTTTCGGAAATTGTTGCCGAGCCGTGGATGTTCAGTCTCAACACAGTGGAAAAGCGCAAAACATTTCGATGCTTGTGGACTTTGACATCCTTGCTGCATCTGCGAGGGTCTAAGACAGACAGGAGGCAGACTGACAGATTCCCAACGTGACAGTGTTATGAAGAATCTCAGAAAGCATCCCTTTCAGTGTTGATGCAACTGCACAAAGCCGTACCCCGAAGCGCTACATGGCCACATCCGGAACATAAACTCCCTGACTCTTTCAAAGATGATGAAGAGCTCCACAAGCTGCATATGCCCAAAGCATTTCGATATTGGCACCTGGTCCAGGGCCACCTGCTTCTCCTGAGCGCACACGAATCTATAGGGGTCTGAAGTTGGGCCCAAGCCCGCAGCCAAGTCACGTCCCATGTAGCATCTTCAGCCGTTGCCATTGCCATAGCCTCTTGCAGCCTCAAGTTTTTGTTGGCTTCACGGGGCGGTCCGAACCCAGAGGCCCGAGTAAGGATGCAAGTCGATGGAAGATGCATGTCTCAACAGCCCAGGGGCGTGTGAAGGGCAGCCACTCGTGAAGCAGGCGTCGTGCCCACGGGTGTGCCCACGGCTACTTCCTGAGCGACACTCGTTTGGGTTTCTTCTAACTAATCCTAATTACCACTTCGAGTCCCCACAACAGATGGCGGTTTGCATGTCTACTCACAGTATGTCTCTACTAATCGTATAGGCTGCCTTTGGACAGTCATCACGGTATGCAGCGGCGCAGACAGTTTTGTTGGGCTTCGGCAGCTTCCGAAATCCAACGGACATGACGGCCGGAATTGACAGTTGAGCGTGTTGAGCGGAGGCAAGGCTCAGGATGATCTGGTCCGGATTGCGACTGCTAACCGAAAGAAGAAGGATAAACTACCAATCTAAACTCAAGCACCACATTTCGGCACAGTAAGAGCCCAAGCCCAATCTCTGAGGCGTCTGCAGACAAGTTGTTGGCACTCTTGCCTCGGTGATGGCAGACATGGCGTTGTTTCACAAACATATGCATATGAATTCCTTGTACATGTGTATATATATATACACACATACGTACATACGCACATGCATACATACATACAGATAAGTGTAGATATATATATATATACATATATATGTATAGACAAACACATATACTTATGCGTGTAAGCTTTTTGATACTTGGCTATGTCATGAACCTGTGCATTGAATTTCAAACTTTACTTATGCTTATATTCATATCTAGTCAGATATCGGCTATATGCACGTATGCATGTATGTCTTTAAATTGGTGTAGCTGTGCACAAACATAATCATATACAGCAGTCCAGGCAGCTTGATCGAGATCTACCGCCAAGCTTCGGACAGCTTGTGGTAAAGAGTTGCTACGGATTGTAGGTTTGGTCAAAAAATGTCAAGGATGTCTCTGCGGAGTACGGCTGGGAAAACTTTCTCTTGGCTTGTGCTGGTTAAGATAGACACGCAGCATATACAAAACCATACAAACCTAACACATACATACATACGTACATACATACATCTATACCTTCACATGCATGTACTGACACGACATGTGAACATGCATATATGTATGAAAATAAATATATCTCGATATATATGTATATATATATACATACATACATACGTACATACATACATACATATAGGTATTATATATATATATATACACGGAGAGACAGAGCGCGGGAGAGAGAGAGAGAGAGAGAGGGTGAGAGAGGGTGAGAGATGCGTGTGCGCGCACATCTCTCAAAATGTGTGCATGCACGTTTGGATTGCACATGTGCATGCACACAGATAGATGGAAAAAGGGCTTGTAGAAAGAGAGAGAGAGAGAGAGAGAGAGAGAGAGAGAGCGAGACAAGATCAACCTTTGCTACTGTAATGCAGCCGTTTGCATGTAAATCCTTTTTGCATCTGGGCTTGTGCAGTCGCCAGAGACTGTCAACCCAGGGAGCATGCATGAAGCCTAAACCCTAAACCCTATGTAGCATGCCAGGAAGCTGAACGTTCCTCTGACTGGGGAGCCCTCGCAGCCCGCCATGGGCGACGAGGCCACACGGCGTGCCAAAGCCTGCAGCAGACTTGAAGATAATTCATCACCCCTCCGTCGGTACCTATATCCTGTATCCATCTCTTTAGTTTGGGGGGACAACTCTGCAAACAGCGCTACTATATACACACATATATATGCTTCATATTTGCTCATGTGTGCAGAGGTAGATGTCTATGTTATGTAAAGTTTGTATAAATATACCCAAATAAATACACATATACACAGGTGCTCCAATATGTCGCCATGCCGTTCATTGATAGATGTGTGCTGCAGATGAAAACGCATGCATGACTGTCATGCCTGCGTGCCACTGCATGCACACCGAACCTTTGTTGGGCCTTTGGTTTCTTACTTCAAACAGCAAGCCAGGTTCCTGTGACCGCTGCCTTGGCCGCTTGCTTCTACCCGAAGGAGCGAAAGCGAACTTTGCTGACTGCTTGCCCGTATGCATGCAGGTATGGTGCTTATCTATACATATACATATATATATGTGTGTATATATATATATAGATACACACACATATATAAATATATAGATATATCTATAAATATATATTCCCCCCCCCCCCGGCAAAAATCCAAGTTTGTTCTAGAAGTTTTTTACACTTCACGTTGCTATGCGAGAGCAGATGTACTTCCCTCGCCACGGCTTGCATACTCTTCCAATGCCACATGAAATATTTAGGTCGTCGGACGTGAAGGCAGAATGATCCCGCAAAGTGCAAGAAATCGAAGTTCTCCATGGCTCTACATGGCAAGGGTTACAAGCTGATGGACTCAGGGTCACCACGACAAAGTCACTCCGGTTGGAAGTTCATGAAGTCTAGAGTCGAAACTGCAGCAGATCTTTCAGGCGGAATTCAGACGTGACCCTGGCATACCCCAGTGACATGGTGATGTCTGAAGAAGCCTCGACCGGGAGCAGCACGCCGCCCTCAGGGGCTGGTGCCACACTGGCATTCTTCCCTGACAGCGCAGCATTCGAGGCAGCTCTGATTTGACTGCTCCAGGAGGCGGGGCGGTTGGATTCATGAACCTAGTCTGTAGATTCTGCGATTCTTCGCCTTCGTTCCCGCCCAAGTGCTTGTCAAGCGGCCCATGACATTCAAGCACCGGCCGGGCCAGTCTTTCTCGGAGACTGCCCGCTTCAGGTCCTCTTGCTCCTCTGACACCAAGCATAATGAGGACAATCGCGGCTTCAATTTCCGGTTTCCACCAAAACAATAATAAGTCTGTGGCAACAACCTTCTGCAGAACGGACAAGATCTCACCAGCGTCTTTTCGGAATGCTTTGCCACGGGAGTCCTCGTCCTCCCGTCGCTTCTGGCAGCAGCAAAGGAAGCGAAGCCAAAGGCAGCGCTGCCTGCTGGGATACGAGGCTATGATGCCCCGTGCTTCCTTCACAAAACCTGCGTGTGTGAGCTAGGAAACCAGGCCTGTGGAATGCCGAAGTGAGCGCCGCGGATGCCATGGCTGCACCGATCACGGCCATGATCAAGAAGAGCACCGACAAAGGGGAGCCTGGCACCATGGACAGTCGGAACATGACAGGGCGCTTTGATCGTCGTGCAGAAGGCTTTTCGAACAGGAATCCAGGCCTTCTTGGAGCGTGGTGCCAGCACTGAATTGGGGAGCGGCCTGTCACAGCTTTTCGTCTCACTTGGCGACTCTACCAGTCTGCCGAGTTTGGGCTTCCATCCCCTGAGGCTGCTGACTATCTGTGGTGAATAGGCATCACTGATTTTGTCGTTGGCATTTGGCCTGGTACTTTGCTCCATGGCCCATGTCGCATCGCGTGATGCGAAGAGACACTGCAGCCGGTAAGTCCAGAGTCTATCGACTCTACCGCAGCTCTTTTAATGGGCCTCTTTTCCTCCTGTCATGTTCTGTTTGTCGGAAAGCCTATTAGACTGAGGCGCTGGGTCTCTCTAACGGGATTCCCACCATCACGCGGCAACACAGCCCAAAACTCCCAAGACGGCACTTCGGACTCCGAATGCTATATGCCAAAGCACCTGGCCACCGCCCACAGGAGAAGTGCACATGGCATCGTGGAGACGCCAATCCTCGAATTGTCAGACAGAGAAGCATCTACACATTGGGCCCGTGAAAACGGCTCCGTCATGAGTAGTGACTAGTGCCAGCCAAGGTGCGGAGCAGTGTCTGAGCGGGAAGAAAGGTGCCTGAGCTTAAGCTGAATACATGCCTGGGACAAAGATCACATGCAGCTGCTTCTCTCTGCCATGTATCCTCCCTACCGCACTGCCTGAAATTTAAGACAAGATGCAGCCTCTGGATCGGACTGACACCAAGCTTCCACTGCCTCCCCACACGTGAGCTCGGTGTCATTGGTGGTGTTGTCCTGTCAGTCTTGTCAAAACTAAGACAAGAAAATAAATAGTGAGGGATGTTCAGGGTTGAGCAAGCAGCACTGCATCGGGGCCCGTGTCTAGTAGCGGTTGAAAAGGAGAACCACGGCTTTCCGTCGCCGTGTTGGCTGTCGTCGGCGGCGTCGGCAAGCATGCCCATCTGATGTTATGCAAGGTCCAGTAATGCACCCGATCAGCTTCCATCACTAGTCCAACACACTCACGGGCCTCACGGGTCGCAGAGAAAGATCGATTCCGACTCTTGCACGCTGGCAACGGTAGAGTAAGCAGTCTGCTAGAAGATTACGGTGTTCTCGACATCGTGCACTATTCTGACTCCGTGCTTGCAAGGTCTACTTGCTGTACCAAAGGCTTCTCCAGTGCAGTTAGGGAAAGTAGGGTCCAGGGCGAATGAGGCTCCTGTAACGCAATGCTATATGTTCTGCAGCACATCTTAAAGGCTGGGATTCTAGAGGATTAGTGACTAGTGAGATTGGTGTGCAGCGAGAGCAGCAGTGCGTCCAATCTTTTTGGTGGGCTTCCACCGCGAAGACTGCTCATCAGAAGGGAGCGTCCACCCTAAAGCGGCATGGCCAACAGGGCACTGAATTGGCTTTAGGTGACATGTTAAGTCTGCTAGCTGCTAGTCCAGCAGTCCTCCTCGTCCAGGGTGTACGTGGTGGACTCACCGCCCTGTCAGAACCGTGCAGCAGCCACAACTAGTTGAATTAACCGTTCAAAACAGATACCCCTTGCATGACTTCCCCCCGACACCAGCGCCTTGCCTGAGTCATGGTCGTACTCGGGGCCGTGCCCGTGAGGTGACGGGAGCTGGTGTAGTTCGTGTGCGCATGCTCCGTGGTGGTGTTGGCCTGGAGCTTAAAGCCCTGCAGTAAGAACATCCAAGTCGAGGTCGTGGAATTGAGCTTGCAGTCCAAGATGAACCGATCCGGTTAATCCCTGCATACTTTTTTGTTGATATTGGGGTCGGGGGTGCCCGCAACTGTACCCACTCTCTGGGCCCGCGTTCCCAGATGACTCAGGCTAAAGCTGCTACCTGCAACAACAGCACCCTCTTACATCAATAATAGACATACAGCTGGCAGCACAGAAGGATGCAGCTGCCCAAGCTGTGACAGGGAGGGTGCGAAAGCAACGCTGCTTATTACTGGCTACTAGGCAGACAAGGTGCACTGTCCAGGTTGTCCTTGGTGCGATCTCCGATCGTCTCTGGAGTAAGGCTGGCGGTAAGAAGGCTCTGCAGCAGTTGCCCTTGTTACTGCTACTGTTCAGGGCTTCTCTACGGACGGAGGAAACAAACAAGACTTCCAGTCAACGAGTCCGAGTTTGTCCAAGCCGAGTCGCGGTAGTGCTTGTGCCGGTCCAAGTTGCTGTGCCTGTCATGCGCAACTCGGAACTTCTGCCTGGCTATGGACTCTCTCTGTCGACAAATCCGTCTGCTGATCTCTGCTGGCCTGTGACAGTCGTCGCTTCGGCCACGGTTGTGATCGGTGCCTCCACCTTCGAAAGAGCGTCCTAGACACCTGCCCTGAAACCCTGAGGCCGAGGGCGTGGCCATCTTGGTGGTCCTGGTGGCGCTGGTGGACCTTAATTTGGGGTCTCCAAACCACCCGACATAACTTAGGAAGCACTTCCTAGTGCAACGCCGCGCGGCCAGGTCGTTGTCACTGTGGCCGACAGTGTCCTGCCATGTCATGCGGCTGCGCAATGCCTGCTTGGCCTCGAGCTGCACGCAATGCAGGATGGGGTATTCTGTCATTCGGTCGTTGCGACACGCAAACGGCCGGGAAGGCAAGAGGTCCTAACTTTCACTTAAGCCCGCCGACCTCCCGAGGTACAGCCCGTAGTAGTAGGGTTGGGAAAGGCTGATCTAGCACCAAACTCTCGGCATGGGATTGAGTTCCGCAGTCCTGGTGGTGGTCAGAGTCTTGGTCGTCGCTGGCATTGCCCACTCCGTGCTGCTGAGAGTGGTAGTACCGGTCACTGTGGCTACTGCCAGTGTTGCAGTTGTGGTCGCAGTAGTGCTCATGGCTGTGGTGGCCACTTCTGGTGGGTTGGTGGCACTCAGCGTGGTGCTGCCAGTGCTTGTAGCGGTTGCGGTTTCGGTTACCGAAGTCTCTGTCGTGCTCACTGTGCTGGTGACAGTAGCAGTTACCGATGTGTCTGTGACTGTCACAACAGTGGTTGACGAAGTTTCGCCTGACCATGTTTTCGTACTGCTTGTGGCCGTGCTCGATGTTGCGCTCGAACTGTGTGTCGAGCTGCTGCTTGAGCTGCGCGTTGTTGTTGCTGAAGTGCTAGTGTCTGTCTGGGTTGTCGTGTCGGTCTTCGACGAGGACACCGTGGTCGTGCTTCCCGTCTGAGTAGATGTATCCGTGCCAGTTGCCTTGGAAGAGCAAAGTTGTTCCAAGGCATCAGTAGCATGCCTTTGCAGGTCCCCCAGTCTCCGGACAGGCCTTATTATGGCCGTCGCACGGTCACGAAACCCTGGAACTCAACAAGATGGGGAATTTGGTTAGCCGCAGGAGTCTGGACAGAAGCAGCCTTCAGCTTGAAGCCGAGTTTCTGGTCGCTAACAGGCCACTCTGATAACAGCTCGACACAACTCGGACAATCGAGGCTGCCACTGTCAACGAGCTTGTCACGGTCGTGGTCGACTCTGTGAGGGTGCTCGACCACGTCTCCGATCCTGGCGCACCACGGAAAGTCTTTGCATTGAGAATGACTGTCGTCACGATCTTCTGTGCTTGCGTTTTGCTCTGCCGGTTGTGCTAGCGCTAGAGTGGCCGCTGATGGATGCTGCAGGCATAACCGGCTCAATGATACCATGTTAAGTTCGATCCTGTGACTGTCTGGTCTGGGGGTGTTATGGGAGGCTTATACAGGGCTTTACAGCGCTTTAATGGGCACACACAAGCCTTATACATAGGTGTCTAGTACACTGCGTCCTGTTGTCGAAGATGTCGCAGTCTCGGACACGCTCGTGGTTGCAGACTTGGTAGTCGTGAGGGTCTCACCTGAGTAGGTGTTTAAATTTATTGGACATCAACATGTTTACGGGCCCCCTTAGGCAGGTACTTTCTGTTGTCGTAGTTGAGCTCGTCTCGTTTGTCTCGTTCCTCGCAGCCACATGTGCCAGAAAGCCAAGGCATGTTCCTAGCTCGAACTACAATGGCCACAACAAGTCCATCCAATTAGTGATCGAAAGCAAGCTCCTTCACCCTTGGAGCTACTCAGCGGGGAATCATTAGCAGCGTTATGGCGTCCGCTCCAAATCTGGTGCCCAAGCTTCTTCCACTCGGGGGCCGTGATGTTGATCTCCGTCAGGTTGGATCCGGCGGCAAAGGTTTCGAACAACTTCCTCAGTTCTGTGAACACTGCTCTATGCACACCTTCAGCTGTTTCCATGCAATTGCGCGTCGCCCGCCAGTCGTTGGGAGATTGGAGCCAAGACTATGGGAAGTGTCCTTTCAGTGGTGCGGACAAGCCTCCCCAGGTTTGTCAGGGTGCCGTTCGGGTGGATGAGGCCAGCATCGCCGTTCCTCGGTAGGAGTGGATTTGCCTGGGACATCTGTTCCGATCGAGGAGCTTTTGGAGCATTCCACTACACTGCATTACATTACATCATATGAAATCACATCCCATGCGTTCCCGTTCACATGAGAAACTGAACCCTAAACCCTAAACCCTATAAGACTTTGTCGGTAAGGGGAACTCGCTTCCACCCCCCTTCAGAGTCGAGCTTTGCCCTGGAACTCTCTAGCCAAGGTGCTCTCCATCCACCTTGCCAGGGGGTTTAGCGTTTCGGTGGGTTCTTTGTTTTCAGGGTTTCGGGGTTGGGACTCGGTGTTTAGGGTTTATTCGACTGGGCACCAGCCCGTTCATCTATGCATATACTGAGACAACATCTCTTGAGCCGTCACGCATCCTCCTCTGAGCACAGGGCTTAGGGGCTTAGGCTGCCAAGAGATCCGAGACTTCCACAGATACAGGGAGGCGGAGCACCGCGATTCTTATAAACCTGCTTCTTGGGCGGTTATGTCCCTCGGGTTCAAGATCCATACGAATGGCGGGGAAGCACAAATAGAAATTAAATGGTGTTTTCGAGGCAAAGCCGCGATCGGATGGGCCCACTGATCCTTGAAGTAGCTGAACCAAGCATACCTTGGAGCAACGAGGCAAACGCATCGAGAGTTTCGGGAACAAAACACCCCAAAGAGGGATGCGGCGGGGTCTCGCAGGTACCGCAATAGGCATAAATGGTTCCGAGTTGGCGACGGCCGCATGAAACAGCAATGTGTGTGGATAGCCAACTAACCTTCCTAATTAGCATGAGCTGCATCCCCAATTCACCGTAACGGCTAGGCTAGACTTCCGGACAGACAGGGGTGCCCGACCCTGTGCGGACAGACAGGGGTGCCCGACCCTGTGCCACAGCAGCGAGCGGTTTACTGGAGTTCAATCAAAGGCGCATCTCTACGTCCTCATCAGCTTCGAGGAGAGGGATCGCCTTGGCATGCGCATCTCAGTGAGGGTCGTGTGAAGCATCAAGTTCGGATGGTGTGAAGCCAAAGGCTCAGAAGGAGAAGCGACGGTCATATCGGAAGTCCGGTGCTCGCTACTTGTGTTCAACACGGGCAACACATTTTCAGGAGCAGAAGCCCGACAACCTCACTGCCCTCCGTTGGCTGCAAGCCTCCTTCATGTACGCCATTTGGCCCTGCAGACAAAGGTGAAGGGCAAACTGTAACGGGACGCAGAAACTGGCGTTGCATCCAATGTGACTCAAGATTCCTCCCTTTTTCTGAAGCAGTTCTGTCATAGTCACATTACCTCCGCCACGACAGCGGAACGCACCAGCCTCTGCCGACAGCCGCTCCGGCGAGTGCGGGTCAGAGCAAGCAATCTCCGTGACCCACATCGGCTTGCCTGAGCAGTCTGGATCATCATTTGTGTCCAAGGGCGGATACTCGTCAACGACCGATATCTACCCCCGGCCAGTTCACAAAACAGTCTTTTGGATGGACCCATGTGCAAGACTACCGTTGACCACAGATGCGAAGCCCAGTTGCCAAACACTCGGTACCGGTCCAGGTGGTACCTAAGCTGCTTGGAACAGTGCATCGCAAGCCAACTAACTGGGGCCCCAGGTCACGCCATGTTTGCAACATACATATATTTTTTGTACATATGTAGATATATATACACACACATACATACCTATGTGTGATATATGCATATACAAGGGCAAATACACATTTATTTACACAAACATCTGCATGATTGAACATATGTAGATATGTATATACACATGTTTGTACAAACATACATGTACGTATACATACACATGCACAAACACACGTGTATGTATGTATGTATGTATATATATATATGCACACACACACACATAAATCCTAAGCACATGCATGTATATCTGTATCCATATCTATATCTGCATATAAACGTGTGCATATGTATATATATATATATAAGAGTATACATGACTACACAATGTAATACAATGTATGTACTCTAAATATACATGTATGATACAATACAGCATTCATACATACTGCGTACACATACACATACACACAGACACACAGATGCATACAAACAAACAAGCATACATACATACATACATACATACGTGCATGCATACATACCTACATACACATATACATATACATACACACACACATATACATATGCATACACATACACCCACACATATACACACACACATACACACACATACACATACACATACACGTACACGTACACATACACGTACACATATACACACACACACATACATACATACATACATACATACATACATAGATGCATACATACGGGCATACATACTACCATACATTGCCACACATACATACATACAAACATACATGCATGCATGCATACATACATACAGGCATACATACTACCATACATTGCCACACATACATACATACATGCATACATACAGACATAGACACACACGTGCACATCGAGAGCATGTCCGAGGAGCTTCAAGCCGTTGGCATAGCAGCTAAAGACGTGGAGGCCGATCGCATCAACCTCGCAGCTGGTTGCGTATCCTTGACATTGACCCGCGGAAGCAAGCAAAGATGTCCCAACAACACAAGCATAGAGTCCAGATGGGTGCTGACAAACAAACACACACACACACAACTCGGATGGTGTATTAACCAAATTCAGCAAATCCAAACCTGAATGGGGAATGGCCCACTAATGAATCCGAACCAAACTTTGGACGGGATCTTACCTGTTTCAATAGCAAACATAGAATTTGGATGGGTATGGACCAAACACAATATGCATTAGATGGATGAGCATTCAACAAACACACTTCGGCACGAAGGCTTGCCACGAACAGGACCATTGCTTTTCACATTCCACTTCTTGCCGCTGTCACTGCTTGCACTGCTGGCTCCCCCAACCACTGAAATTAGCTTCTGCTGCCGCTACCGATGCCGCTACTGCTGCTAGTCGCAGTAGCAGTAGTAGTAGTAGTAGTAGTAGTAGTACGAGTACGAGTACGAGTACGAGTACGAGTACTAGTACTACTACTAGTACTAGTACTAGTAGTAGTAGTAGTAGTACTAGGAGGAGGAGGAGGAGGAGTAGTAGTAGTAATAGTAGTGGCCGACCTACGACCTACGATGTACTACCTAACTACTACTGTCTACCTACTACCGACGACGACGACCACTACTACTACAACGACAACTGCTGCTGCTCTACTGCTACTGCTCCTACTGCTGCTGCTACTGCTGCTGGTACTGCTGCTACTGCTGCTGCTAGTAGTACTACTACTACTACTACTACGACGACGACGACGACTACTACTACCTACTACTACTACTACTACTACTACTACTCTACCGCTACTACTACGACGACGACGACCACACTACCTCCTCTCGTACTGCTGCTGCTGCTACGACGACACGACTTCCATTGCAAGTGTGAAAGAATCGCTGGCATCGTGCTTTCTTTCGTTGGCATCTCCTCTCTACGGCTTCGTTTCGGCACCTTGCAGCCCTCGCAGTGGTAGAAGAATTGGTAGAGCCAGTCGATCGGATCCTCGGGTGCTTGTCATGGCACCCCCTGTGTGTCTAGAGATCGACTGGCGCATCGCGGATCTGAGCTAGTGTCAAGACGTGACTGCAAGCAGTCCTACTCTGCACCTATGCCTGTCATTGCAAGCAGCCAGAAGGGCCCCCCGAAGCTGAGGGTGGCTCGAAGGACCAATGGTAGTTCATGGATGGCGAGACCTGAGCTGTTGTTGCTCCATGAACTTAGGTTGCCTGTCTTCCCATGGTTGCTGAGAATGCAGAAATCAAAATACATCTCCGAAGGATCAGTGACGGGCACAGAACGCCCGCAAGTATCAAGTTGGCCTTTCAGGATCGACGATGGGAACACGTCGTTGTGGATAATAACATACTGCAACTACAAAGTGAGTAGAAGCTGCGGAAGCCTAATTAGGGCCTAATTTTGCTTTGGTTCCGCCAACCCTACAACTTCTTCCAAGCTAGTATTTGTAGCATGGAGCCAAAACCGTGAACAGCCAATGCACATCCTTCCGCGCATCCTTCCGAGTCCGCCATGTAAGAACTGCTTCGTAAACGGAGAACCACGGGTCTCTCAGGCAGCTGCAATCGTGGTAATGTTGTTCAATTCCGCGATCCTCTCCACATCCTTCCAGTAGTATGCAGCCTGAGATCGCAAGTGCCACGACTAGTGTAACGGCGATTAGCCGATTAGCCTCATCCTCGGCACGAACATAGCCCGATGGGTCGATCACAAGCTTGCAAAACGTACCCTGTTCAGTTAGTTTGCCTGCCTGCCCCACGGGGTGGTGACAGCACGAACTGAGATTTCCATAGTGAAGATCTTGACAGTTCGGGCGCTTCCTAGCCCAACCCGAATCCAAGGCCAGCACCCAGTACGGATGGAGATTGGCCCTGCAGTGGCATGCTTGCACCATGAGGGTCTTGGAGGTTGCTGAGTGCTTCGGGGTAAACGACGATGAATGTTTGAGCTGTTGATGAAATAAGGAATGGCACTGTTACAAGTCTTGCCTTAATCCCGAGCCACGCCAACTGGTCTTGGCTAAGCCGTGCTAACCCGACTGGCCGAATGCGCTTATCGAGCTCCATCGACGGAAACTTCCAAACACCACTCCGGCGGAAGACTCCCCTCGTAGGTTCGTTCTACAGGTACAGACATATAAGCCCCAAGTTGTTAGTTTGGCAGTACCGGATATAGACCCGGTCAGTTGTCCATGTATGGCTGTCTTGCGTGTCTGTCTGTATGTGCATGTATGTTATATGTATGTATTATGTATGTATGTATGTAGGTATGTACGTACTGTATGTGTATATGCATGTATGCATGCATGCCTGCATGTCGACACTGCCAGACAGAGTCTCTGTCTGGCAGTGTCTGTCTCTGTGTTGGTCTGTGCGTGTGTGTGTGTGTGTGGGTGGGTGGGTGCGTGCGTGCGTGCGTCTGTCTGTCTGTCTGTCTGTCTGTCTGTCTGTGTGTCTGTGTGTCTGTGTGTCTGTGTGTCTGTGTCTGTGTCTGTGTGTGTGTCTGTGTGTCTGTCTGTGTGTCTGTCTGTGTGTCTCTGTCTGTCTGTCTGCCTGCCTGCCTGTCTGCCTGTATGCCTCTGTGCTTGTCTGCCTGGGGGCTGTATGCATGCATTGCATGGATGCATGGCAATGGATGGATGGATGGATGTACGTACGTACATACTTAGGTATGTGTGTATGTGATATAGATCAAGATATAGATATACACATAGCTAGATGGATAGATAGATAGATGGATAGCTCTGTGTGTATGCATACGCACACACGCACACACATACGTGTATCGGTATGTGTGCAGTGATACCATATATAATATAGACACACACAGAGAAACCAAACCAAAATTCAGAGCACACTGCTTGAAGATCTCCCCAAGCCCCAGAAAAGCGCAGGGCTCCCCGGCTGCTCCGGGAAGTTCGGCTCGTTGAAGCCGAGCAAAGCCCGGCTGCCCTCCGGCATGCCATTCGCCTTTCCGAGACGCTTTTGCTCTAGCTGTTGCCGTCTACTGGCGCAGAAAGTAGAACCAAGTCTATTTGCCCAAGCACACGGCCTCTGCAGCAGCAATGGTGCCTTGCATCATGCAGCGTACAAACTAGTCTAATTTGACGGGTTCCGAACGAGCTTTTTCAATAATTTGTTTGTAAGCTTGGAACGTCTCCAAAGTGAGGGGCCCTGTGCAACAGCCTCTTGCTTTTGGAGCAGGGCTCCGCAGCTAGCCTGCTTTCACCCTGCAGCATGCGGAGATTGTCGCTGTCTGCCCCATGCGAGGATATGCGGCTTCAGCAGAGTCCAGACTCGGAACTGAGCCAAGCTGCCATCGCCCCAAATCATTGGGTAGAACTCGATACCCGCTGCGTTCCACACATCCAGGCTGGGGCCACCTGGCTCTCGCGAATTCGCACCTTTGCCTGCCTGCCTGCCCTGTACAACCGGTGAAGTGTACCTGCAAGCTTCTTTTCCAGCAGGCCTTGGAGCTTGTAATCCCAGGTGGCGCCCCAGGAGATGATGTGAGAAAGCCCAGAGAGCATCTCCTGCCGCCAGAAGCTGCACAGTGGATGCTTCGGATTTATTCTTCCGATTCTCTGCTGAGTCGAACCATGCCTGGAAAGCCTCATGCTATGTTGGTGCCTAAGCCTAAGACGACGCGAGCATACTGCGGAAACACACCCGACCAATCTGGGCTTCTTGGGGCCCTCAGCGGAGCTTCGGAGCCTCCTGCAGCCATTTCTCCCCAAGCTCACCGGAAACCTGCAGCCTCTCGCTGCGAAGCCCGACTGCCCCGAAGCTTTGGGGGAGGCGGCTCCGCGGTCAGCATGTGGTTCTCAATGGCAATGCCACGCCTCAGCCAAAGCACCGCGTTCGGATGAGTCGCCACTTCGGGGCTTCGGGGCCCTGGCTTCGCAGAGCGCTCCGTGTTGCCGTCCTCGCGGTACTTCCTGAGCGGACCCACGGGTAGTGGTGCCGTCTGAGGTGTGATATTCGGGCCATCCGCGTCCCCGAAAGGGCACGCAAATTTCCCGAAATCCAAGTCAGTGGTGTGTCATGGTTGTCACATTTCACTTTCAATTGCCAATGCTGGCCTCCAGAACAAGGCCAAGGAATTGCAGTCACATGTCCGCAACGCAAAAAAAGAGAGGCAAGGCGCTCCCATGGCCAGCAATCGGCGCAAATGTCGTTCTCCAACGCCGCCTGCATGGATTGCACAAACCCGTGTTTTCCTGTTCGCTGTCGGCCATGCATGTACGAACATGCGACACAACGGCCCACCTGTCTATCAGATCTCGCAAACACGTGAACACAAGGTTAGTCAAAAAGAAGACTTGCTCGCTTGGAGTGCCTGTGAGTCGCTTGATTCCCACAAGCTGCGCTTGGTTGCACGATGCTACTGGTCGAATGTTCAGCCGTCGGCAACTCAGCCCGCCCAATCCTGACCTTGAAGATGCTACCAGTAGTTAGCCAATCTAGCCAGTGGTGTTCTAAAGGCTGCATGTTCCGGTGCATGACCAACCCAGCGTCCCGCCTTGACGCGAGCCTCCTGCTCTGTGAGGAGTCCTCCCTGGGGCGTCTGAAGAAAAACGATCCTGAGATGCAGGGCATGCAGGGCAGTCAATGCAAACCTCAACGCAGGATGCCGGAAGCACCTACTTCACAGAGCCATCTGGAAAATGCAACGTCTTGGGCTAAACGATACTACATGCCGAGCATGATGCAAACAAGCTTCCGCTCGCCGCATGTGGACGGCTCACCATCGAACTTTGCATCCTCGAACCAAACCTGCTTTCAAGATCTTTCAAGCGCAACCGTCGACATGTGCACAGGTTTGATAACCCAATCTTTGGGTTTGACACTACGGGTTCCATGGCCCTTCTAAGCCAAGACTGAACCATCAGGATGTGCCTGATATGTGGCTTTTGCCTAACACAGCGGTCGTACAGTCCCCTTCGGCAAGGCCCCTCTCTCTTTACTCCGAGGCATCAACCTGGGGACCAGGACTGTTTGAGCTATTTCACATGTCCAGCCAGGCAGCTAGGCTTCGGAGCACTCCACACTCCGAGAAAATCGCCGAATTCTGAAGCTTCCCTCTGTGGCCGAGCCTATCCGCCGAACCTTTCAGTATCTCCCTGAGAGCTCCCCCTACCACTGGGAGCCTCTTCGCAGCTGTTGCTCCGCACCCGGGGGACGGAAGCCTTGGAAGCACCGCCAACTTGCTGAGATCCCAACGGAAAGAAGCGAAAACCATCTGTTGGAACCGGGGGCGCCATCACCATGGGGCTCCACACAAGACAAGACATGACAAAACCTCTTGGGGCTCATGAGATCCGGAGGCTACCTGTGCGCGACTATTGGATTGATTGGGTTGTATTGGTGTTCGTACAGGCGCGGGAAAAACCAGGACATAAATCGTCACCTCTCATCCTGAATCTACTGCCAAGCCGTGGGTCTGGGTCGCAAACATAAACTTAGATCACTCGGGTCCTGGCTGCAATAACCAAGATCAAGAGGCTCAAAGCAGTCCTTCAAAAAGGCAGATTACCAGGTTTGTGCGGGGACAATCAAGCTGTCTTCGTGGCCGGCCACACTTCGCACGAGGTGGAGAGCTGCAAGCTGGGGCGAGTTGCCAATCTCACAACATGTGAAGTTGTATCTTTGGAATCTGTCCGAATGGCTCGCTGTATTGTGTCCTGGCCATCGTGTTGACTGACAGCTCTGCGAGAGTCTTGAAAACCTGGCAAGGTTTTGTCGGAGGTTGTATCAGGTTACGGCAGTTTTTTTGGAATCCTTCGGGGTCTTCTCCGCTGAAGTCTGCATCTTGCTCTTGGGATTGTTCCCTTCTCCCATTTCGACCCCCGTCCTGCTGCTGACCCTGATTTCTTGAAACATGTGCATGTCGAGTCCGGCCGCCCTTGCCACGAAGCAGAACACGAAGAACCTGCCGAACCCCATGATCCCGAGCCTGCGACGAAGATAACAAGTTGTGGCACGGAGCCAGCGAGAGAGTGACCACGGGAGTGTGACGAGACCTCAGCTGCGGTCCAGCGACGTACCGTGACCTTCGGGCCGATTTCCCCTCTGAGCCCCGGAAGTGAAGACGAAGACCACGAGCCCAGGGCCCAGATGGGCCCTGAGCCCTCCTGTCCCCTCTGACGGCCAAGCCACTGGTGCTCGATCGCGCTCTGGCGAGGAGGACCCTCAACTTCTAGGCACTGTTTGAGCCGGTTGACGCGGCGAAGTCATGGTGGCTGGGAGCTTCTGAAATGGCTGAATTGCTCCGGAGCCTGAGATCCTGCAACCAACGGACCCTCGCATGGTCTTGGGTCTGCAAAGAGTGTAAGCATCACCGAGTGCCAGTGTAGCTTCGTCTGCTGACACGCATGCAAAAAGACTGATCGAGTGGTGGCTGCGCTCAACTCCTCTGCTTCTGATTCTTTTCATCTCCCCGCCAGGCGCGCCCTCATCGCAGAGCAGGCTGCGGGCGCAATGCGGCGCAATCGAGGCGAGCACCTCTCGGCGACCCAAACAGGTCAGCGTGCTTCCATCGTGTGCATGCTTATAAGACTTTAGACGCTGAGAAGCTATGAGCAGCTTACACGAACAATTTTCCGTCTCCGCGGAAGAGCTGTCGGCACGCTGCAACTTTGAAAAGGGTGACTTCACTCTTCGTCAAAGAAGTCGCCGTCCAAATCATAATGATCATAAAAGTCATCATACTCTTCAGGCTCGCTGTGGCCCATGTACTCCAGAGTATCGATCTCGCCATCAAAGTCCGAGATTGAGTCCGGTGCATCAGAATCGAAGAAGATGTAGATGCAACGGCTAGCTCCTTCACCTCTAGACTCGTGGCGGATGCCGAGCTCATCACAAAGGACATGGATCACTTTCCTATCGGCTGCGCTGAGAGATGAAGGAAAATGAAAGGGTTGCTTTCTGGACTTGGCATCTTGTAGGCGCCGGCGCCAGGCAGCAATCTCTGTCTGACCCTCCATGCTCCGAGAAACACCCGTGCCCAGCCCTGCCTGACAACAAAGGCTGCGTGCGGCAAGCCAATTCTTCACTGCGCTGCTGGCGCTGCTTGCTCGATTCGGCCCTGAGGCTCGCAAGTCCCCACTGCCATGTGCAAAGGTACACTGAGCGCCGTACCTGCAAGAGCCTCGCTCAAAGAATTCACAAAGCACGGTTTTGTAATTGGCTGGCTGCCGCTGGACTGTCGATGTCGAACTTGCGCTGGCAGCTGCCGTCGGGTTGGTGCTTTGCAGTTCCCCAGCTCCGTGGGCATAGGAGCAAGCAGATCCCTTCGAGCAGCGTCCCATTTGGTGGTAACGGCAGAGAACGGTCTTGAAGCTAGCGCCACGAGGCCTGTGCAACTCCGTGCTGGGACCCGTACTACTGGAGCCTGGAATCTGCCTCGCCCCTAGAAGAGATCTCAGCTGCATGACTTCTGCCTCCAAGGCTTTCACTCTGCCTTCCTGCGCGACAAATACCCAGGTCTTCCCTGATGCCTGACTCGGAGCCTGAGATCTCTGGCGTCCCAGTCGACTGGCAAAAGAGGCCATGCCCTCATCCTCAATGCCCTGCAGCACCTGCGCGAGCTGGTGGTCTTCGGCCAGTCGTGCCTGCCTTGCGGCTTCGACCTCGTTCTCATCCTCAGAATCGGAAGTTGAATCTTGCACTTGCAGAGGAGTGTGGCGGCAGAAAGGGCAAGGCGAACGACCCCCGATGCCAGCTCGCTTCAAGATCTCTGTGCTGCACTCTGAGCACACACGCTGCTTGCAACAGCTCGCCTTCTGTCTGATGTGGTGTGTCACCTGATAGGTGTTTGCACAGATGGGGCAAGGATCGGGCAATGTCGCGCTCCTGCGGCTGGGCAAGGCGACGACGGGCGCCGCTTGCTGATGTCCTGCTGAGACGCGGGTTGCACCCCCACTGCTTCCGGAGCACGCACTTGCTTCCAGCGGTCTGCAAAGTTGGGATCGAGATTGTGCGGTTGGTGGCGTAGCCACACTTTTCGCGGCAGTCCCGCTGCCAGGCAAGATCCTGCTGCCACGGGTATTCGATTGTGGGTGTCCCTCTGAAGCATGGGTGGCATACCCACCAGCAGCGGAGCATGCAGTTGCTCCCCCTGTTCTGCAATGTTCCTCCATAGATTGCGCGACTTGTGGCGAAGCCGCACTTTTTGCAGCTGGCATGCCGAATGAGCGCATGCTGAAGTTCTGGCCAGAGTCAGCAGCAGCCAAAGCCGAAGCTGCCAGTGGCCTCGCCGAGAACTGCTCCGTGAGCTCTCGTTCTGCCTTTCGTGCTGCCGCAAGCCGTTGGGCTTCGGCCACAAGTGCTTCACTGCCAGGCAAAGCTGCAATCAATGCCTTTGCCTCTGCGATGCCAATTGGGAGATAGCCTTACTGGCTGAAAGGCCCGGGCCA